CTGGCCTCCAGTCTTCCCAAGGTACTTAATGCTGGCAGACTGATTGGGTGGGTCCAAACCCTTGTTTTATGAATGGGCAGATGTGCTCAGAGGTAAAATGACTCATAGGGAGGAAAGGACCAAGTCAGGATTTGAACCCAGGTCCCATGAGCACCAAATCCTGTCCTGAAGCCGTTGGTGTGAGCCCTCCCTGGGGACGGACCCCAGACTCTCCCCGTGTCAGGTCTTCTGACCCATGGCTGGCTCTCTGCCTCTCATCAGCCCAGAACAATCTGGAACTTGGAGGTGGATAAGATCCCTTCACGTTATCCTATGTGGAAGCTGGGGCCTGTCTAACAGCTGGAGATGTCTCTGCTGCTGAGCCTCTGAACCTGGCCGGCCTGGCCCCTGCGCACTGGGTGCCAGGGGAGGCGCACACGGCCTGGCCAGAGCACTCACGCCTTCCCTGGGAATTCAGGCTTGCCTTGACACCACACTTTGGTTTTGCTTTCCCCTGAAAGTCTGCAGATAGTAGTTATTTCTGGTCTCTTTTCTCCGGTCTTGCTGGCCCTGTGTTAATTAGAAGTGTGTTGTTGAAGGGGGATTGGAGTTTGTGCTGGCGAGCACGTTCCTTGGTGTGATGAAAGCCAGCAGCAGCTTCTCCCTGTATTAATGAGATTTGAGCAGAAACCCCCCCGCCTCAGCAGAAGCCCCCGTGTATGTTGGGGGGCAGTTGGTCTACAGTGGGACAGTCGCTCCCCCGATTATTCCAACCCCTCTTTTCACCTACAGACTTTGAGGAGAGCTCTTTCAAGCAGAACAGTGAAATTAGGGGTGGGGTGGCCTGCAGCATCCCCCCAGGGAAGGCCAGAGTCCACTGCTAAGACATCCACAGATCTGCCAGGGGTCATGATTGCTGAATAATGGATATGGAAGCTCTGCCCACTGCTGCCTGTGGCATTACCATGCTGCTGCCAGCTGGGAGGGGGCTGGGGGGGCAGAGGTTTGCCTACCTCGGCAGAGATCGGCTCCACCTCCTGTCTGGAGCGCCCAGCGAGTGGGGTTTGGTTTCTATGGGTCTTCTCGCTGAGTCAGGGCCCACTGGCTGCCTGGACCATAACACTGCCCTGAGCTGGCCTGTCTCAAAGACTACAGTGAGGGTTTCGGCCCTCACCCCTCAACGCCAGCTGGGAATAGTCCGAATGCCCCGATCTCCTCAGCTCAAGGCTGTTCACTTTCTTCAGCCACAGTGGCTCCAAAAGACCATCCCAAGAGCCCTTCGGGGCATCCCCTGAAAGTGGGCAGGAGAGCCAGAGAGCAGCAGGGCCAGCGCTTCCATTTGGCAGAGAAGGAAACAGACCCAGGAAGGATGAGAAACTAGCCCTAACCCAGGGTCATTCGTGCCGTGAGTGCCAAAGTAAACTCCTTCCTCCAAATTCAGGGCTTTTTCCAGTTTTCCGTGAGGTGCCAAGGGTCTGAGCTATTTAGATGGGAAGTACACACAGAGCTTGGCCTGCTTGAACGGTGTAAAGGCATTCAGCTTAAAATGCACTTCCTCTCCCTCCTTCCACCTTTCCTCCCTCTCTTCCTTCTTCTTTCCTTCTCTCTCTCCCTTCCTTCCTCCCTCCCTCCCTTCTTCTTTCCCTCTCCTTCCCTCCTTCATTCCTTCCCTTCTTCTTTCCTTCCCTCCCTCCCTCATTCCTTCCTTCCTCTCTCCTTCCCTCCTCCCTCCCTCCCTCTCTCCCTCCCTTCTCTCCCTTCTCTATCAATATGAAAAATTATTGAGCAGTTTTTGCCAATCACAGCTTTCACAGTGCAATGGAAACACTCCTTTCCCCTTTCCTCCATGACTCCTGTCTCCTGCCCAAGCACAGGCAGGACAGGAGATCTTGCCCAGAAGTCGGGGCTGAAGACCGGTGTCTCCTCACTCATTAGGTTTGAGCCCTGGGAGATTCTCTCGTTTCTCTGGAAGTGAGGTCGTGCCGAAGAGCTTTAATCACTAGCGTCTGTTACTTCTTTTCTTTCTTTTTCCCCTCCTGATCTTTTTATGACAGTTGAAAGATCTCATCCAGCTCTCTTTCTGGATACTGTTTGAGAAACGAATATTCTGAGAGGCAGCTCCAGGGAGAGGGAGAACGGGAAGGAGATGGAGGGCCTGGTGTCCAGAGTGGCTGCACTGATCACAGGGGACAGTCAGGGCCCAGGACCAAAGGATAGCCCCACTCCACCAGGCACACCTGTCAGCACTCAGCCCTGCAAGGGCGTCCCAGCATCCGGGAGCACAGACACATCTTCGTTAACAGGAGGAGCAGTGACATGGAGCAGATGTGGGAGTCTGTGATGGTATAAACATTGACAAATGCTGGCTTCAGCCGACGGACCTGGCTCCCGGCCCCTTTGCTTTGCCCCTAGGAAGTGTAATCTGCCCTTCGCCCGGCTGGTTGTCTCAGGAAGGGCAGCTCTGAGAGGTAGGGTAGAACGGAAGCTCCCAGAGGGCAGGACTCTTTCGTTTCTGCCTTTGTATCCCTAGTGCCTGCTACTCAGTCAATGACAAATAAGTCCTTGCAGACTGTGCTCTCCCATGGCTGTTCACAGAATCCAGTGTCCCCAGCAATGGCTCTCCAGCCTTTACTCAGGAGCCTTCTCAGAAGTGATGCAGTCCAGCCCGAGGCAGCCCCTCCCTTCCACTTGGGGACAGCTGTTATGCTTATTCTCCTTACCCAGAGCCTAAGAGAACTCCCCTTCTCCAGGACAGCCCCTCAGAGATCAGAAGATGCCTATTGTGCCCCCAAGGGGTTCTCGCCCATCTCATGACATCTTTGGCCGTCTGGGTCTGCCCCCCCCATCCAGGTCATGGTTGCAAGAGCTACCGTGACCATATCAGGGAGCAGAGCCAAGCGGGCGCCTAAGCACCCCATCTCATCGTCTGCCCTGGCCCACTGTCTTAGACGTAGAAGCGGGGCTCCCTGGTGACCCCCTTGACCAAGGCTCTTCCCACCTGGCTTTGGCCCAGGCTCTCTAGTCGGTGGCTTTATTTTGATCCCACCTTAAGAAACCACAGGAAATGTGCTACACGTGAGGGATGATGAAGCCGTTTTGGAAGGCGACCCTCCGAAGAACTGCCCTCTTGCTGAAACAAGTTTGTAGGCCATTTTTGGCTGATTTCAGAATGAATTGTTAATGGCCAGACAAAGGGAAACCTCTTCCCTTGGGCTTTTGACCCTCTGCATCCAAGGTGCCTCTCGCTTCCAGGAAGGATTTTGTGTGTCCTCAGAGAGAGAATGAGGCAGAGGAGGGCAAGAGGAACCCAAGATGGAGAGTGAGGCCCCCCCTTCAGGAGGGCTCCAGAAGCCATTTGTCGGTCACAGCATGCCACGGCCAGATGCGTTTCCTCCAGAGACAGGGGCCTCCCTAGGGTTGGTGTGGCCGACGTGCCCTTGGACCCCCCGCGAGGTGAACCTTCTCCTGCACAGTGGCCTGAGGGTCTCTGCCTCCTTAGCCAGAGCCTAGGTCCCCTCCAGACTGTCAGGATCCTTGAGGGCAAGGAGGCCTGTGGCAGTGGTGGTCAGCTAGCTCCGGATGGCAGTCATGGTGAGATAAGATGCTGAGTGAGGAGCGGTGGGCGTGGGCCACACCCTCTCCTGGAGGGCTTTAGTCACCCCTTGGCATTTTGCTCAAATTACCAAGCTCTCTCCTGGATTTCCACAATGTCGTGGTGAGCAAAAAAGCTGTCAGAGTTAGGAGCGGCTAAGTCTGCTGTGGGTCTGCCCCAGCCACTGAGGAGGCTGTGGGTGAGGTCGATGCAATCACAAGGTGTTCGCCGGGAAGGAAGGCTTTGAGTGCTAAGTGCTGATCCCTGGGAAAAGATGTGGGCCTTGGATTGCCCCCATTTTACAGCTGAGCAAACTGAGATGGATAGAAGAGGTGAGGGGCCTTGCCCAGGTCACATAGCTAGTAAATGTCTAAGGAATCTGTACTCAGACCTTCCTTACTCCAGGCCCAGTTCTCTGTCCACGGTGCTACTCGGTTGAATAAGTGGAGAAATGGAAAGTATTGATTTATTGCATGCTAATTCATGGAATCTGGGTGGGAGAAAAACGCCAGCCCGTGCTCTGCACACGTGAGAGGGCTCAGCTGCCAGGTGGGCCCAGGCAGCGAGGCCTCTTCCTCAATGCTGCCTCCACTGAGGGTGGGCGTTCTCTTCTGGGCCTTTAGCAGCAGCGGTTCCTGTTGTGGTGCCTGGAGGGCTGGCTGGACAGAGGGGACAGGGGAGGAGGGGGGTTAGAGTGCATTGGGGCAGTTGCCCAGCCTCGTTTCCCTGGCTGTGTCCAGGGCTGGAGGCCCCTGCCACTCCGGCTGTAAGAAGTGGTGCTGGTGGTGAGGAGGGGGCATCAGCTGTGATTCTGTCCCCCTTGGGCCAGCAGCCCCCCCAGGTTATATGGGCCTCTCTTATGTACCAAGCTCTGATGGGGCAGTGGGGTGTACCCACTCAGGGTCTGCGTGGCATAGTCTGGTCCCAAGTGGGGCGTGGGTTATGGCTTCTAACCAAGGAGCGCAAGTGTTGGTGAAGCTGGCATCTCGGCCTTATTTGGCAGCCTCTAGGACCCTGGCCTTGGAGGGGGAAGGCAGCCTTAGGCAAGTAAAGAGACTTGGCCAAGGTCATGAAGTGAATAAGCCCTCAAAACAGGATTTGAACACGCGTCCTCCCTTCCCAGCACCCTGGCTGTGCGGGTCAGTGGCTGACGACTAGGCTGGCCCCAGTCTTTTTGTTGAGCTAATGACCGCTTTCCCCCTCGCTGCCCGTATGGAAAGCCACAGAGACGGGGTTAGCACAGGTAGAGTGGAGCCTCCCTGAGGGCAGGGCCCATGCCTCCTGTGTCCTCTGCCCCCCCCCACACAGACACACAGTCGCCTTTGTAGGGGGGCCCCGAGGCGGGGGGAGGGCGCCCTCCTGCCCTGGCATCTCCGCGTGCGCTCAGCTCCAGGTGACTGACCCCCTCCCCCATCTCTCCCGCCCACAGCAGCAGCAGGAGATGCTGGCGATGAAGCACCAGCAGGAGCTCCTGGAGCACCAGCGGAAGCTCGAGCAGCACCGCCAGGAGCAGGAGCTGGAGAAGCAGCATCGCGAGCAGAAGCTGCAGCAGCTGAAGAACAAGGAGAAGGGCAAAGAGAGTGAGTGCCCGGGAGGGGAGACCGAGGCGCTGGCCTGGCCGGCCCTCTTCCTCGTTTGTGTTCGAGTAGACGGAAGCTTAGTAGGACTTCTGATTAGATCGAAGCATTTCAAAGTGCATCTGGCAGGTTTCCTACTGGACGGAGAATATTAAGAACCGTGAAGTACCAGATGCACTGAGCGCTTGCTCCCCGAACTCTGGTTCGTTTGTGCAAGTTGGCTTGTTTTCTCGAAGGCTTTGGAGAGTGTGTGTGACAGACGGAGAGGGAGAAACTGCCTCGGTTTCCTCAGCTGTAAAGTGGGATCTCAACAGCCCCTCCTTCCCATAGTTGTCATGAGGCTCAAAGGAGAAAATATTTATTTGGAAAGCAGCTCTTAGCACAGAGTCTGGCACAAGGCGGGGTGGGAGGGGGCTCTAGATGCTTCTCCCCTCCTCCTCTTCCTCCTTCCTTCCCTCCCTCCCTTTTTCCTCCCTCCTTCCTTTTCTCCTCCCTTCCTTTTCCTCCCTTCTTTCCTCCTTCCCTTCTCTTCGTCCTCCCTCCCTTCTTTCCTTCCTCCCTTCCTTCATTCTTTCCTTCCCTTCTCCCTCCCTTCCTTCCTTCATCCTTTCCTCCCTCCTTCCCTCCCTTCTCTCCTCCCTCCCTTCTTTCCTCCCTCCTTCCTTTTCTCCTCCCTTCCTTCTTTTCCTCCCTTCTTTTCTCCTTCCCTTCTCTTCCTCCTCCCTCCCTTCTTTCCTTCTTCCCTTCCTTCTTTCTTTCCCTCCCTTCTCTCCTCCCTCCCTTCCTTCCTTCCTCCTTTCCTTCCTTTTTCCCTCCCTTCCTTCCTCCTCCCTTCCTCCCTTCTTTCCTCCCTCCTTCCCTCCCTTCTCTTCCTCCCTCCCTTCCTTCTTTCCCTCCCTTCTCTCCTCCCTCCCTCCCTTCCTTCCTTTTTCCCTCCCTTCACATTTCCAGGACATCAAACTCCTCTGGAGAGCACAGGCAGCCCTGGGGACCTTTGCACCCCACCCCCGGTAGCAGACGGAGCTGGCAATGATCCGTCCCTCGGCTCCTCCCCAGAACGCTTTGGTCTTTTTCATTGAGTCACTGTATGTTCAGTTTTTCCTTCCCCGTCATTGGGAGGGCATGTCTGTTAAAGGGGTTGGTCTGGAGGCTGGGCTGAGACTGCCGTAGTGCTGGCACGTCCTGCTTTGTGCCCGGCCCCTCCCTGGATGCCAGGGCAGCACAGGTGGGTGTGCAGGGGCAGTGGCATCAGAGGGGCTTTATCCTTCACTGTTAACTTGTCCCAACGTGATCCAAGAAAACATCCCTGGGAGAAAGATGGCTGGGATGGAGACCATGAAGTCCATCTGAGTGTGCTGGGCCCCTCCCTCTCTGCCACCCTCTGCCAGTGCAGCCCCCCAGGACTGGCTTCCCCTCCCAAGGCTGGGTGGGGCTCCTGAGCTTTCCATTAGGGCCTAATAGCCCATCCTCCACCGCCCAGGACGGTTTCATTCCCTTCAATGAGATCTACTTGAACAGAGCCCATGCCAGACTTAGAGCCATGTGTGAGTGTGACAATGTAAGTGTGTGTGTGAGGAAGTGTGTTTGTGGAAAATATGAATGTGTGTTTGAGTGTGTAAATGTGGATGTGTACGTGAGGTATTTGAATGTGAAAACGTAAGTGTGTTTATGTGAGAGAGAGAGAGAGTGTGTGTGTGTGTGTGTGTGTGTGTGTGTGTTTCAGACCCAGGATTGAATGAGTAGAAGGAACTTTGAGGGATAGAGGATCTGCTGCAGATCTCTAGCCCTTTAACCAATCCCAAGTGCTTAGTAGGCGCCTTGTGTGGGCACACTCTGTGCTAGGTGCTGGGGGCAGAGAGAGAAAGGGAAGCAAGGCCTGCCCTCAGGGAGCTTGCAGGCTGGTTGAGGAACAAGAGGTAAACCCAAGAAGACTTTGTAAATGGTTCAGTCTCCAAGAGTGTATGGAGCCCTCGCAGATCCTAGCGGCTCCCCCCCACCCCCCGGCCTTGGGTGGCCTGCAGGAGCCGCGTTGGCTCGGTGGTCAGCCTGCAGCCCTCCCCAGGCCTGGACGCCTCCTCCTCCGCTCTGACCACTGAGCCTCCTGGCTTCCTTCAGGTCTCCATTCTAATGCCACCTTCTCCAGGAAGCCTCCCCACCCCCTTAGTTCCAGGGCCTCCCATTCCTGGTTGCCTGTGTGTCCTGTGCGCGGCTTGTTTGTATCCATCGGCTCCATGAGATTGGAAGCTCCTTGAGGACAGACGCTGTCTTTTTCCTTCTTTTGTGTCCGCGGCACTAAGCCCAGGGCCTGGCACATGCTGCTGTCCAGTCATTTTTCAGCCGTGTCCAATTCTTCATGACCCCCTTTGGGGCGTTCTTGTCAAAGATCCTGGACTGGTTCGCCATTTCTTTCTCCAGCTCATTTTACAGACGAGGAAACTGAGGCAAACGGGGCAAAGTGACTTTCCCAGGGTCACACAACTAGTAAGTGTCTGAGACCAGATTTGAACTTGGGTCTTCTGTCCAGTCCTGGCATTCCATCTACTGCACCACCCAGCTGCCACCTGGCACGTACAGTAGCTACTTAATAAATGCTGGTTGACTGTTTCAACCTATAACATCCCTGAAATAGGACAGTCCTGCCCCCGAGACAGCTCTAGCCACGCGGTCACGTGTCCAGGCATATCACTGGGCACTGCCCATGTGGCATTTGGTCAGCCCCACTCTTCACTCCGCCAGCCAAAGCGATGGGGCTGCCTGGACAGAGCAGGCCCGACCTGGAGCTCAGAGGCATGGAGGCTTTTGGTCTGGCCCACACCTGCGAGGGAATCTCCTCAACACCATGCAGTCCTGTGGTCAGACCACAGGTATCTATTAAGTGCTTGCTGTGTACCAGGCACCGTGCTAAGTGCCAGGGATCCAGAGAAAGGCAAAAGCCTGTCCCTGCTTTCATGCCAGTAGGGGCACAACAGTGGATCTAGTACCAGGCCTGGAGTCCGGAAGACCTGAGTTCAAATCTAGCCTCAAACACTTTCCTAGCTGTGTGATCCTGGGCAGGTTACTTAACCAATGTCTACCTCAGTTTCCTCAACTACAAAATGGGGATAATAACAGCACCTCCCTCTGAGGGCTGTTGTGAGGATCCAGTGAGATCCTCTTGTAAAACTCTCAGCACAGGGCCTAGCACATAGTAGACGCTATTATCATGAATGGGAGAAACAACATGTAGATACCTCGGCCCATAGGAAATATCCATGGAGCAGAGAGAGCCGTGAAAGCACCACCCTGGGGGTGGTTTTAGATTTCGATGATTGTATATAATATATAAACAATATAAAATATATCATATGTTTATATTATCAGTATTTATTAGGTTTCATTATGATTTGTAAATGGGTATGTGTGCACGTGTGCATGCTACATAGACCCAACCCGTACACACGTGTGCATGTGCATGTACACGTGAACAGATGTTTGTGCCCCTCCCACACCCCATGTGTCCGGCAGGCCCTTTGGCTCTTCTCCCTGGTTTCTGGGGGGCTCTTCCTGAGCTCGTGAGGACCGTAGGCACCCACCGATGCCCCCCTCCTCCTTTCTGGCTCAGCCTGGGGGTCATTGGGTGGGGAAGCTGGCTACTGTCTTGGCAGTGTCCCTTCTAGGGTGGCCGTCAGGACAGACAGGAGCATCTAGGAAGCACGTAACATGTGCACACGCCTAAGGCCCACTACCCGCACATGCCCCTCACACACATGCACATGTATGCATATACCACACGATACACGCACACATCACACACGCATACCCCACACCATCTACAAGGAGTCGTGTATAACCAGGCCCCTTCTTCACACCGGGTGTTTACTGGGCCCCATCTCCAAGCCCCCAAGCCCTGGAAGACGCAGGAATGGGCAGGAGGGCCAAGCAGCAGAGGGACACCCATGAGTTCTGGGTCATCCCCTCTCCTCAGTTTCTGGAGGAGGCATCTCCAGCCCCGAGAGGGGCCGGCGCCGGCCCACGGCCACATAGCTGTCTAGGGAGTGGCTCAGCGTGGTCTGCTGGCTCTCTGTGGCTGTAGTGCCCATGGGTACATGGGCGGCTCGCGCCCCAAAGTTTCACTTCATTAGGATTTTTCCAAAGCAGGGCGGCTGGTAAAGAGCATGAAACTAAAGGCTGGAACGCTCAGCTGATTGATTTCCAGCAGAACAGAAACCCAGCAGATCCTCATTTTTCTAGTTAAAAAACAAAAGCATCTTACTTGCTCCAAATCAGGACCATATTAAAACTTTCCAATAAAATATTATCTTGTGGCTTGGGAAATACGGAAGGCTTTAGCCCCGTGGAACGTTTTTGGTCTTTCTGTAAACAAGGGAAAATGCTGTTTTGGATTGGCTCCATGGTGCCCTCCCCTCCCTCTCCCACCAGCCTCCCTTCACCTACCCTCCCATGTCCCCAGGAGCCAGAGATGGTGGGATGGTGATGGCCGAGCACCCATTGGAATCTGCGTGGCTTCCCCGCTGTGGGCTTTTCTCTCCCCCCTCTGCCCTGAGCCCCGTGGGCTGTGTTCCTGGCGGGGCCCCACATTAGGAAGGGCCTGGATGATCTGCCCACAGGAGAAGGGCCCAGATGGTAAAGAAAGGGCCTCACCTGCAGGGTGGGGGCACGTGTCATCCTTGGGAGAAGGTTCCACGCAGGCTTGAGAGGGGTCTCTGAGCCACAGAACTTCATTGGCCAAAAGCAAACAGCAAGCATTTATGAAGCTCCTACTGTGTGCTACATACTGTGCTAAGGGCCATAGATACAGAGGAAGGAAAAAACCCTCCCTGCCCTCAGGGGGCTCCCAGTCTAAGGGGGGAGGCAGCTTGCAAACGGTGGAGCACATACAGGCAGCAGCCAGCTTAGACAGCCCGAAGGTCATCTCCCAGGGGTGTCTGTGTGAATGAGTGTGTCTGAGCATGTCTATATGTGAGTGTGTGTGTGTGTTTGTCTGTGTGTGTCTGAGCATGTCTGTGTATGAGTGTGTGTGTGTCTGAGCGTGTCTGTATGTGAGTGTGTTTGTGCATGTCTGTGTGTGTGTGCATGTCTGTGTCTGAGCGTATCTGTGTGTGAGTGTA